TCAGTTGGAAGATGAACTCGTCCGACTCCGCGCTCCATCGCACTCCCAAGGTCGGCTCGACAGGCTCCCACGTGATCTGCGTGGTTTGCGATGTTTAATTATGATCATGTACAACACATATTGGGCAATTCTGACCCGCGAAACGTTTGGAGACATGTGGAACGGAACAGTCCGCAAACGGGGCCGCGATCGACCGGCTATTTACTTCGAAGATCAAGTGTGGACCTACGATCAGGTGGACGGTTATTCGAACAAAGTGGCCAATCATCTCATTCAAGCAGGATTTAAACGTGGAGATAAAATATTTCTCTTATTACATTCCTCTCCTGCCTATGTGGCGATATGGCTTAGAGCTGCCAAGGTCGGTGTAGCTGCGGCTTTATTAAACTACAATCTACGACAAGCATCGCTGGAGCATTGCTTGAATGCGGTGGACGCGAAAGCGATTATCGTGGGGACCACCCTGCGTGATGCATTCCTCGAAGTCAAGGGAGACAAGAGATTCCCAGCCAGTATGATCTGGTACGCAGATGAGAAAAGTAGCACTCCAGATTCCGCACATGCCATGACTACTTCATCTAAGGAAAGTTGGAATCAGAGGTTGGCTGCTACTCCTCCTCCACCCTTGCCGCGAATCAACAATCGAAGAGAGCATTTGATTTATGTGTACACAAGTGGGACCAGTGGCTTTCCGAAAGCTGCAATCATCACAAAACCCCGTTACATACTCATGTCGTCCGGTGTGCGTTATTCGTTCCGCATCTACAAATCAGACGTGCTGTACACTCCGTTACCGTTATATCACATCGCCGCGGGGATTTGCGGTGTTGTACAAATGCTGTTGCACGGGACGACTCTGGTCATTCGGTCCAAATTTTCCGCGTCTCAATTCTGGACAGATTTTATCAAATATAAATGTACGGTAAGCACCACTGTTTACGACTTTCAGTCAGGTTACTCAGTCTCTAGCCAGTGATTTTATTGACCACAAGATACCCCATATTGAAATCTCCCTTCTCAGCAGTCTATTCACATATGATGTCGCTGGGTCCGCAAAGAATGACTGTTGACCTGATTCACACTTGTACTTCTCACCATCTTCGTCCACTTGTTGACTGATATTATCGCACTCTGGTCTTCATTTTTAAATGATGCAATCAATACCTTTCTCTTCAGAAACAATTCATTCCTCGTAATTGATATAATAGCTGGTCTTGTCGGAGCGTCAAGATAATGCTCCCTGAAATCTACCATTAGATTAAATAATAACTTTACCCTTAAGAAATAGGTGTGGCAACAGTAATTATGAATTCTAATCACAAAGTCTTCGTCGTCGTAAGAAGTGTAAACGTTCATTCACCATCAACTGATTACCTTCTGTCTGCCCAGTTGATCAAGCTTTATTCTCTCACCGATTCGTTTGTTCACCTGACTTGTTTTGGCCAATTTGATGACGGAAGACAAGGTGATATTTGTTCTCGTTGAGCGCCTCAGGTAGGCATATCTTGCGATAACGGCAACCTGTAAATTGGTTACCCGAACTAAGCGGTCAGGCCTGGCGGCATTGACAAAACGGTCATTGCCTATCACTTGCGTGCCTAATCCCTTGGGGCCGAG